TGATAAAGAATCGTAAACTGTAATGTAGATTGAACATTGATTGCTATTGAGTCAGTTTGGAGATTTTGACATAGTGTCCCAGTGTGTGTGTATAAGGATGAGATTTTGTTGATATTTTGATATATAGGGCAAAATTACAGTGCATCATTTTCATTGTCACGTTTACATTGGGCTATCAAATAAACAATTGTATATACACACATGTTCTCCTGGTTACTCATGTTGTTCACCTGGCCCAAACCGCCAAGTGAGCTTGTGCTGTGGCACAGTGTCCGTCGTCTGTCCATCATCACTTTTTCCTTTCAACAACTTCTACTTAAGAACCAAAAGGCCTTCAGTGATATTTGGCTGGTAGATTTCTTGGATGGAGCTGAACAATGTTTCCAAACAAAAATAACCTTGATCTACTTTCAAGGTCACGGTGGTCAAATATGTCAAAAGATTTAAGTATGTAAGTATTAAATATCGGAGATAAAACTGCCATTAAAAACGTCTAAGTCTAGCATTAATAGTATAGAAAAACCCGTTTTATATTTAAATCAAACACACACATGTACACGATATTGATACGAAAAGACAACAGAAAATTACTGTTTAGTATTATATATATAATAAAACATAATAACAAGGAGATGAACCCAGACAAAAAAAAAAAAATGGAGGCAAAACGAAGTGCACCAAAGGGCACTTGTTGAATGCAACCATCAATAATGGCATCATGATATTTTTCCTGTCAAATCTAAGAAATGATTTTTACATAATAGAAACTAGAAACATAATGCAATATCACCTGCATGTATCTTATAAATTGCACCATTATCAAAAAAAACAATCTTATACCAAATTATCCAATAATAGTGTGATCTTAATAAAAGCGAAGAATAATTATTATCTGAATGGGGAAAAGAATTCCCTTGAATTCTAATGGCCGACCCTGGAACAGGGAACACAGTACTATATAACGTTTAACAACCTGGAACAGGTTATGTATAAAAAAGACCCTTGAACAGGGTATACAGTACTATAAAGCTAAACAACCTGGAACAGGTTATGTATAAAAAGACCCTGGAACAGGGTATACCGTACTATATAGCTAAACAACCTGGAACAGGTTACATATAACAAGACCCTGGAACAGGGTATACGGTCCATATAGCTAGACAACCTGGAACAGGTTATGTATATACATGTATAACAATAGTACCCTGGAACAGGGTATACAGTACTATTTATATATAGCTAGACAACCTGGAACAGGTTATGTATATACCTGTATAACAANGTATACATGACTGAATAATTAAAACTGGACATGTGTACTTCACATGTACTAAAACAATCTAATCTGGCTCAAAACGTTATAAATATTTTAAATTATAAAACTCAATATGACACCTATAAAAACTGCATTGACAAAACAACAAATAATTACACAACATGTTCAACATAATGAATAAGTACATATATATATAGTAGATGCATAGTCAATACATAATATGCAAAAGTGACCCACACCAATTTGACATTAATTCCTTACCTATGTGTAACATTCACCTTATCAGGTGAGTAGCCCATATCTAAATTCATTTGTCAACGCTGAACTAGAACAACCTTATATATGTACAAACATAGATTTCAATTATTTTAGACCAACCTGATGATAATTCTGCTAACAAAAAAGCTCCCATATACATGAAACAAAATACTGTAATAAGAAAAATTCAAAAAACAGAAGTTGTCACAGGCATTTAAACAAAACAAAATACTGTAAGGCGATGACCTGGGGATGGTGGGAGGGTAAAACTTATAAGTTGTCAAACTCTCTGAAAAACTTCCTGTCTTCTGCCTCTAACAATTTCTCCTCTAATGCTTGTACCTGCTTCTCATTGGTCAATTTTGTCACGTGTATATTCTACTTAAATATAGTAACAGATCTATATATATATATCTCATACAGCACGTTTATATGTCCCCTACTCCCTGACCCACACTATAGTATCTATATTACTGAAGACATGATGGAAGGGCCTTGCATTCATGTTGTGTATAAACTCAAATTAAATAAAATTTCCATGTAACATGTAAACTGATACTTTGAGCATGCTCTTGAGTAAGGGAAACAACTGTGACATGTTAACTCCTGATTCTTAAAACAGGCTCTAGAATAGTGCATTAACTGTTACATGTAAACTCCTAAAGCTTAACTGGAATAGACTCCAGTGTAGATATTATTCTTAATTTTTAGCTCACCGGGTCCGAAGGACCAAGGTGAGCTTATGCCATACCGTGGCGTCCGTCGTCCGTCCGTCAACAATTTCTTTAAACAACTTCTTCTTCTTAACCACTGATTGGAATTTAACTAAATTTGACTGGAAGCATCCCTAAGTGGTGGGAATTCAAAATTGTACAAATGGTGGGGCTGACCAAAAAGGGGGCTGAGGGGCGGGGCAAAAAGGGGGCAATTTGGCTATATTGCTTTAAGCGACATCTCCTCTGGAACTAAGAGATGGATATCAACCATATTTGACTGGAAGCATCCCTAGGTGGTGTGGATTCAAAATTGAACAAATGGTTGGGCTGACCCCCCAGGGGGCTGAGGGGAGGGGCCAAAAGGGGGCATTTTGGCTATATTGCTACAAACGACTTCTTCTGTAGAACTATGCACTGGATATCAATCATATTTAATCAAAAGCATTCATGGGAGGCAGGGATTCAAAATTGTACAAATGGTGTGGCTGACCCCTGTGGGGGCTGAGGGGCGGGGCCAAAAAGGGTTATTTAGCTATATTGCTTTAAGCGACTTCTTCTCTGGAACTAAGAGATAGATATCAACCATATTTGACTGGAGGCATCCCTAGGTGGTGGGGATTCAAAATTGTAGCAATGGTGGGGCTGAGGGCTGGGCCAAAAGGGGGCAATTTCGCTATATTGCTATAAACGACTTCTTCAGTAGAAATATACCATGGATATTGATCATATTTGGTCGGAAGCATTCATGGGAGGGAGGCAGGGATTCAAAACTGTACAAATGGTAGGGCTGACCCCCCGGGCTAAGGGGTGGGGCCAAAAATAAATAAATACTTGGAAATGGTTGAGATCCCCACCATATAACCATATATACAATTGCTGATTATAAAGAGAGGAATGCACATTTGCTTCCAGGATGGCTCTAGGGTCTGACCCCACCCTTGGAGACTTAACCCCAGGGTCATAACTTTGAAACAGTTGAGATCCCCACCCCAAAACTATGTATACAATTGTTGGGCAAAAAGAGACGAATGCAGTCATGATATTAGAATTGATCCTGGGGTCTGGCCACAACCCTAGGGACCTAGTTTCTGAGTCATGGCTTTGAAACAGTTGAGATCCCCACCCCATAAACATATATAAAATTGCTGGGCATAAAAAAATCAAATACAGTTTTGCTACAAGGATTGGCCTTGGGGTCTGGCATATTCCCTTGGATCTCATTTGGAGAATATTTTGCCATGATTGCTTAGATATCCAGGTGAGCGATACAGGCCCTCTGGGCCTCTTGTAATTAGAACAGTTCAAGAGTAGAAATTTAGCTGTGTTATGTACATAGTCTAATCACCTGATGCTTAGACCAGACATAAGACATTTTGACAGATAGATGTCTGGTGTCGGGACCAGAAGAAACATGGGCTACTTTGACAGATACATAAACCAGATGTGTTGTTAAAACGAGATGAGGTGTTATAACCAATTTTTGTTTTATAATGTTAGCACTGCAAAAATATTGTTTAGTTTGCATGTCAAGAGATATTTCTAAACACATTTTCTTTAGGTTGGTGAAAGGTTTCTGAAGCACAACCAGCAATGTATTTATGTGTGACGTTTCGCTACATAATCTTTTTACAATCCATGTTAACTGATATGTATAAGTGTTGTCTAAATGGAGGTGTTAGATGTTATGTCGGAGCTAGTGGCCATGTTTATGATAAAGTGGAAGGATAAGTATATTTTAACATATAAAGGAAATATAACAGGAGTATTTCGATTATGCATATACAGTTAGAATGTTCTGACACGTGTAAATAAGTTATCTATTCAAATATTTTTATGGATGTCACCAAATAAATTGAAAATGGAGATTGTAAATTATTACAAAATAAATGTTCAACTATGTTTGCCTGCATGGATTCACTACATACATAAAGTGACGAAACGTGGGGGTTTTCCCAGTGATGTTGCGGCATGGACAACCTACAGAATATTCCGAAGCATATAATGTTTATTTGGGGAAAATGTTGGGACGCCATTTTGATAATTTAATTGTTATCTTTACGTGTTTACATTATACATGTGTGTGTGTGTGTGACACTGGTTTCTCTTAGCTTGACTAATTTCGTTAAGTATATAGAAAGTAGTTTTAAATGTTTTTAGTTTTAGTTTCTACATAGCGACGCTACACACCTACCCTTTATCGACAGATACCTATTTTTAAGTTGACTTTGATCACGTGCCAACATTACACCCAGACCATATGACACTGTCATGGCGCTAGGTGGTAGTGATAAAGCGCCATGAATCATATTGTTGGTCGTTGTGGGGATCAAAAGTGATAGGAGTATCTNGGAGATTTGTACATTATTACAAAACAAATGTTCAACTAAGTTTGCCTGCTTGGATTCACTACATACATAAAGTGACGAAACGTGTTTTTTTTCCAGTGATGTTGCGGCATGGACAACTACTGAATATAAGGAAGCATATAATGTTTATTTGGGGAAAATGTTTGGACGCCATTTTAATAATTTAATTGTTATCTTTACGTGTTTACATTATACATGTGTGTGTGTGTGTGTGACACTGGTTTCTCTTAGCTTGACTGATTTCGTTAAGTATATAGAAAGTAGTTTTAAATGTTTTTAGTTTTAGTTTCTACATAGCGACGCTTCACACCTACCCTTTATCGACAGATACCTATTTTTAAGTTGACTTTGATCACGTGCCAACATTACACCCAGACCATATGACACTGTCATGGCGCTAGGTGGTATTGATAAAGCGCCATGACATCATATTGTTGGTCGTAATGGGGATCAAAAGTGATAGGAGTATCTTGATGCATAGGTTGTGAACTCAATGACTCGCGATCGTTCAACCATGCTTACCAGCTTTGATTCACTACATAGGCCATGACGCGCACTGGGAGTTACTTTCACAGTTACCAATATTCCTGTCTGTAAGTATGAATAATATACAGGATATGTGTGTGTTTTTTTGACGAATTAAGGAGTAACCATTTATTCCCTTTTCTAAATGTAGAAAATTTAAAAAGGGGTTTGCTTTTTGTTTACATACCAACTGATATTTATAGATATGGTCTGAGTGGAGGGTGTTGGAGCTATGGGCCATGTAATACAATACATAACATCTTGATAGGTTTTACCAAACAGTTGCTTCGAATTATATTGATATTACACTCCATTATGATTGTCATATCGATATATTGGTTCATTGGTTCATTGCAGGTGACACCGTTGTAAGCGTCTAGTCGCTTCTTGAGGTGCTTCTTTTTAAATGTTTCCGTATATACATGTATTTGTCTGTGCGATTTTAAAAGGAGGAAGTAAATTCAACCGTGAGTTGTATAAATAGTACCACGTACACTACCGTCGTGATTTCCAAAGTCAAGGCCATTTAAAAAAGTAACAATGTTGTCACGTAC